CAGCTATGGTACAATGGAAAGAACAGTGGACTCTGGAACCTGCAATTGAGTGACGTGCAAGTCAGTCATCTAAGCTTTAAGTCCTACTGACCTAATCTTTGAGATGAGAAAGCTGAATTTGATCTTCTCCAATGTTCCTTGATAACCTAAAATTCTATAGTTCTATATATCTCCTCTCTTTTCCCTTGACGAAGATTGTCCCTACTGTCTTTCAGATAATAGCAATGAAAACAGGTGGTGGGAAGGTATCATTAATCCATAGCTCTTCTTCCAGAATTTACCAAGTGCATGCTCATAGGCCTATGATCTAGGACATGGGGGACATATTAGACTGCAGAGCAAAGTAAATCCAATCTATGAAATAAACCACAAAATAAACCAAGTGTATGTGATTATTTAATGCAATTTACCAAGTGTATGTAACTCACCATCTGGCTTGAATGGAATTTTATTCTTATAAAAACGAAGATTGCTCAAGTCATTTTGATATCGGATATCTTTGAAGTTCTGCTAAAGAAAAAAATAGATCAATCTCCAGAACATAAAAATATAGTATAGGTATAAGGACCCTTCATGCATGTTTTCTCAATCACACCATACACTTAAAAACGGAAGGAAAATAGTTTACATTTTAGAAAATAATATTCTATACTCTTACTGGGTACTGGTGTCGGTACTTGTACAAATCCCTCGCAGCATAAAAACTTCTCTTTGGTTTGGCCGTTGCTTCAGTGGAATCATCACCCTGAAATAAAAAGTGAAACTCCATTTACATGTTGATGCAAGACAATTTCAGCAAGAAATTTCTAGAACAAACAAAATAATGACGATCCATAAAGAAAGCCTGAAAATGGTCAATCTGTCCAAATTGATGAAAATATTATAAATGTTCCTTTAATAATGCTTACTAGTAATATTAGCATTCTATTTTGCTTATTTGAACCAACAACATTTGTTCTAAGATATATTACTGAATGAAACACTTTATTGTTAACCAAAAACCTATAGAGGCCAATGTTATGGATCAATATCTATCAGAAAGAGAACTCTAAAAGGAATTCAAGACATTTACCAAATGATTGTGCAAGTGATTCTATGATAAAACTTATTTTAGAATATTTTACAAAATACTAAATGTGTTAAGATACTAAATCAATTCTACAAAGAAAATTGTCATTAAATTTGCAACATTTAGCTGTACTTGGAAGTCAAGTAATATTTATGAAAAGAAAGGATTTCAAAACTAGCTTTCTAAACTCCATCCTTTATAACACCATGACAAATACACAAAGGCATGAATAATCATGTGATATAAACATTTAAAATATATACACACAAAGCAATAAAATGCTCTCAAATGGAATGATGTCCAATTGAAATAACTTATGTGGTAGTTTACTCATACTATTTAAACTCGAAGCAAAATTTCTATCACCATGAAGTGATTTTTAAAGTGTAAGATGCAGGTTAATATAATCGATTTGCATTCCCTATATGTACTATTATGATGTATGAGAAAGTGCTGACGACAATGACTAAAAAGAAAAACTTTAGACCTTTAAGAGTCATTAAAAGCTTTGCCCCAAATTATTTTCTCCTCAACCCCTGTCCTCCATCAGTGTTGACAGACTGGCATCCTCTAAGTAATCTTCACACAGTTTTGAAATGGATGATTCTCACTATTACTACAAGTACGGAGTTACTTCAACACCAAATCTTCTGATGCTTAACATTAATTACTCTGTCATGTTACATAAGCAAGGAAAAGCTTGATTTCTGGTCCTTGCCACACGTTTCAAAATAGCTCTGCCTAGCAAGTTTCTGAATCTATTTAGCCTCAACTACAACCATATGAATCATCATCCTACATTTGTATAGAAAGCACTCTCCATTTACAAAGCACTTACTTGTATATTATTTAATTTGATTCAAACACACCTGACTGACAGTTTTGTGTTTCCATCTTAGAAACAAGGTATCGGGGCTTAGAGAAGTTGAACACCACCCAGAGTCCAGTGATAGTGGAAGAACAAGAATCCCAGGCTCTGGGTTGCAAGTACAGGTCTGAATCAATCTGTCACACTAAAAATGAAGGATGTATGGGAACCTTGGTGTAGTAGCAGTAGCCCAAGACTTGGAGTCAGAAGATGAGGAATCTTAACTCTGCTACTTAATATTTGTGAGGCCTTAAGCAAATCATTTAGCTGAATCTTAGTTTTATCATCTGTGAAATAAAGATAATGACTCATGCCCTACCTATTTCTCAGGATTATCGTAAGAATGACTGTGTCTTGCCAGCATCTGCTCCTGCTCTTACAACCCCTATTCCCTCTGGACTCTACCCAGACCTCTTTCACCTGCTCAAAAAAGGATTCTGTTGTTCAACAACATATTGTTCATCTTCCCTGGATCATCAAAATTTCCCTCTCTTCTGGATCTTAAACATACAAAACCTTCCTTGACACAAGTCTATCCTCAATTACAGATCCATATATCTGCTCCTTTCTTATAGATCACCACCAAAGAATTGCCCAGACTTTGTTTCCTTCTCTTATTTCCCCATTTTCCCATGACCCACCTCAATCAGGCTTTTGTCCTCAGCACTCCAACAAAATAGTTCTTGTGAACTTCAATAAATCTCCATCTTGCCAAACCATTTCTTAATGTTCACCTCAGGTGACCTCCCAACAGCACTGGGCCAATTAAAGCATCCTTCCTTCCTGAAACACTGTCAGTATTTGGCTTACAGGATACTAGACTTTCTTAGTTTATTTCCTGTCTCATTGGGCCCCCCACCTTGTCAGCCTCCTTTTTTTTTGGCTCTTCCTCCTCTTCATACCCTCTAAATGGAGGGGTGCCCAGGGCCCTCATTCCTCATCATACCTTAATAACCCCTTATCTTCCCATGACTTTAAATACCATTGATCTCAGATGCTGAGGACTCTCGTACTGGACTAAGTCTCCTTTCACAGATGTAATGTAACTACCCAACAAATAAATAACTATCCAACAACTCCACTTGGATGTCTAATAGGATATCAAACTCAAGAGAATCTTTGACTTAACCTCTAAAGCTACATTCACCCTAGACTTCCCTGTCTTCGTTAATGTCACCATCACTTGTCCAATATTCAGAGGGACTAGGATGATGTAATGGAAGCAGTGTGAAGGAGTCCATCTGGGATACGCTTTAAAAGTAGCTCCAGTATTACCTGCAAGTAGATTGACTCTAAGGAAGAGACAACAAACGGGTTGAAAGTCAAAAGGCAAAATTGAAAAGCAGATTTTTTTTTTTTTTTGGAAGTCAGCTGTTGATACTAACAAGAAAAATTAACCATTAAAAGGGAATAGGGAGGGATGGTGTAGTGTACTAGTTACTGGAGTTGCAATGAACTGACTGAAACATTATTTAAAAATTTCATATAGACGGACCTGGTTAGTAGGATTGAATCTTAGCTGGTGTTTTTTGATATCCCAAATTTCTGTAGGAGGTTACTTAATTGGGAGACAAATGGAAGGGAAAAACATGAGAATGCAGCATCTAATAATTTAATAAGATTGAATTAGCAATGCAAAACAACAGTAGCAAATCAGACACAAGGGCAGATGGAAATTCACAATTCCACAAGTCCAAGCCTCTGATATTAGTGATAGACTTAGGTTTGCATCATCCTCTCCCTCAATGATCTTGGGCAAGTTTTCTTTTCTCTCTAAGCCTCAGTTTTCTCTAAAACGGAGACCACACAGCAAACCCCCACCGCAAAATTGTAGTTCATTTAAACAGCACGTTTAGCACAAAGCCTGCACTAAGACTTCATTTAGGTAAGGAGCAAATCATAAACAGTTGTTCATCAAGATGGTTGAGGCAGCAGTAGCTGTAATATTGAGGTAATGATTCCCCCAAAACCCTGTGGTCACATTGAGAAAACGGAATCCGAAGTCCAATCTCGATTGCCCATAGCTGATAAAAAGAAGGGCCTAATGCGGAGCGGCAAACCTGAACCACCTCAAGGATGTACACGCTTCTTCTGAGGGTCGGCTATGTATTTCCTCCTTTTAAAAGTTCCTGATTATTTTCAGTCCATCAGAGGTTAAGGGGGTTATTTATTGTTTGACTAACCTCTCCAAGCTGTATTAGTCAAATGGTTCAAGCACAGTTGGATCAACAAGTCTTCTGGTGAAATAAGATTCGTGAAGAGTGCCCTGAATCCTAGGTTGAAAGGCCTGAGTTGGGCAGATCAGTGACGTATGAACCTCAAACGGGGGCCACACTTCTGAGGGCTTAGCCTCCACTGTAGGAGGAGAGCGCTGGCTGCCTGCTCTTGTAGCCCCATCTTACTCTGAGTAATTTTTTTTTCTCCCAATAACACTCACTAGAGGGGTTGTCACAATCCTCTATTTTTAGACAGATTCCTCCCACCCCACCTTAGCATAACCCAGCTGCGCTGCAGAGGCAAAGAAAACACCCATTCAAGTTGGGTTCTGCCTTGAGGGACTTCCCCGCCGTGCCCTCGGCCAGGCCCCAGGCCGGCAGTGGGCAGCCCCGGCAGGCCCCCGGGCTCCACCGAGGGGCCGGGTCTCGGAGGCGAGCAGCGCCCAGCGCCCTGTCCTCCCCGTACGAGGGCGGCTGGGCGCTCGCTCCTGTCTGGGGCGCCCCGGCCCGACCCAACCCGACCCGAGGCCACCACCGGGCCGCGTACCTGCTCGGCGCCCGCCGCCTCGGCGTCCTCGTCCGGCGCGGGGCTGGCGCTGGGCCGCCCGCCGGCTCGCTCCGGGGACTGCGCGGGCTGCTTGGGCTCCTGCCCCGGGCCCTCGCTGCCGCCGCCCGCCCCCGGGTCCTCGGGCTCGGGCTCCGAGTCGGTCTGCCAGGTGGAGTCGCAGTCCTCCACGGTGGTGGGCTCGCGGAAGCTGACCCCGCCCAGCAGGTTGCCCATTGAAGAGGCGGCGGCGGGCGCGGGGCTGCGGGGCTGCGGGGCGCGGGCTGCGGCAGGCGCGCTAGGGCCCGGGCATGGCCGCGGCGAGGGCGCTGGGCGGCAGCCTAGGCGCGCCCGCCCCGCACTGCCTCAGCGCGGCGAGCGGCGGACAGGCACCCTCGCGGGGAGGAGCCGGCGGCCCCGGGACCCGCCGCCGCGCGCCTGAACCCGCCCATCCGGCTCCTTCTCCTCCCCATGGGCGGGAGCGGCTCTGGCCCAGAGCCCACGGAGGAGCCAACTGCGGCCCCCAACCGAGCACCGCCAGCCCTGGGTGCCCCCTCACTTACACGTTTCTCCCCGGAACACCTGCCTTCACGCGGCCCCTGGAGGTCCCCGGAGTGGATGGGGGTGGGCTGCTACCCTGGCCGCCCAGAGCCGGGGATGCCCGCCTGGGGCATCTCCCAGCTGAGCGGGAAGAGGGATCCCGCCCAGTTCCGGGAGCTGAGTACCAGCGTGGACGTGATGTCGAGGAGGTGTCACCGTCAGAGGTGGGTCTTGTCCCCCTCCCCCTTCCCTTACCCCTCCCCCACGAGAAAGACACATTAGCTGCAGCAGAAGACAAAAGCTAATGGTGCCCGGGCACCATATAAACAGGAAATCCCAGCTGCCACAACTGTACTTCGGGCAACCACCTAGAGTCCTGTGGTCTAGAAAGTCAGAGCTATCAGCCACCTCATCTAATGAGCAAACGTCTGGTGCAAGAAAAGGAACAGTAACAACTGGACCATCACATTGATTTGTGGGTAGTCTTGCACCCATTCCAAATTGATGCTCTGGATAGGCAAAAATCTCAGAATCCTTGAACAGATGGGCTGTTTCTAAGGGAAGAAGACTTGGCCCTTTCGTCTGTTCTGCAAACAAAGGAGGTTAGGGAACTGTGTTACAGAAGTATTTTTTTCTTTTTTTTTTGAGACGGAGTCTTTCGCTGTTGCCCAAGCTGGAGTGCAGAGATGGGACCTCGGCTTGCTGCAACCTCCGCCTCCTGGTTTCAAGGGATTCTTCTGCCTCAGCCTCCAGAGTAGCTGGGATTATAGGTGTGAGACACTGGGCCCAACCTAGAGAGGTTCTTAAAGATAAAGTAGCGTAATCAAATATGCGACCTAGAGTAAAGTGACTATAGTGAAATGTGTCTTCTTACTTTCTAACTAGAAGGGAAGCACCTTTGCAGGCAGCCCCCAACTGAAAGTGTGTCTGTATTTATTTGTTCAGCTGCAGAGGCTGGTGCTAGGGACAGTGCTGTCAACTTCATGGATGCTCAGTAAACATTTTAAAATGTGGACTGAGAAAAAATGAGTTAAATACTTGATTAAACTGTTGAAGTTGGAATGAATAGTTTCTTTTTAAATGCTTCATGATGAAGTAGGAAGGCAAATCATGGTAGATGGACTGTTTCTAAGAGAAGAATCAGGTAAATAGGCTGCCTATTCCATGGATAAATCAGGATTACCTAAGCTCTTCATGCATTGCAACAGGAGATCTAGGCTGTGGCTCTGTCACTAATCAGTCTCTGACTTTAGGTCACATGAACCTAAACTTCCTCATCTGTAAAATGAAATCAGACTTTATTTCTGGGGTCCCTTCCAGCTCTGACCTTCTGTGATCCTATGACTGGGAAAAGTTCTGAAACTAATAAATAGACACAGGATGCACAAAAAGACTTTTTTGGCTGGGTGCAGTGGCTCATGCCTGTAATCCCAACACTTTGGGAGGCCAAGACAGGCAGATCACCTGAGGTCAGGAGTTCAAGACCAGCGTGACCAACATGGCGAAACCCCATCTCCACAAAATACAAAAATTAGCCTGGTTTAGTGGCAGGTGCCTGTAATCCCAGCTACTCGGGAGACTGAGGCGTGAGAATGGCTTGAACCTGGGAGGTAGAGGTTGCGGTGAGTGAGATCGGGCCACTGCATTCCAGCCTGGGTGATAGAGTGAGACTCTTTCTTTAAAAAAAACAAAAACATTTTGGTCATAATGGCTTAGTAGAAGATGTGGGGCAGCCACATACCACAGGAATCCACTGCTCAAAGCTGGGGATTTGATTGATTTTCCATGGGCAGAAGACCAGAACATGATGCAGAGGTAGACATTGTCCATCCAGGCTTAAGTCTTCCAAGATTGTTGATGTAGAGAGCCTATGGATAGTTGTGTTCCAGACACTTCATCAGTTGGTCTAGGTGTATGCAGACTAAATAAAGTTGGCCATATGTTATTTGTTCTCTTCCCGTTGAGTAGTCTTGTTCCTTACTCTTGAAGGAGCTGGCCTCAGTGACTTGCTTAACTATAGAATATGAAAGAAGTGATATTCTAGGATTTTCTAAGTTAAACCATAAGGAAACTTGCATTTTCCACTGGGGTCTCTTGGAATGTTTTCTCTGGAGCCCTGTGCTCCCGTGTCAAAAGTTCAGCTAGCTTGAGATTGCCATACTAGAAAGGCAACTTGTATGTGGCCTCTGGTCATCCTTTGGTCATGACAGCTGAGCCCCGCCTTCTAGTATCCCCTGTTGGATTCCACTGGTTTTTTACTGAATCCTCCAGACCAACCCATCCATCAGCTGATTATCTTTCAGTGACCTCCATCAACCCTACATGGAATAAAGAGACTACCCAGCAAAGCCCTGCTCAGATTTCTGACCCATAGAAGAGTGAAATGCAATAAAATGATTGTTGCTGTAGGTCACTAAATTTTGCAGTAGTTTGTGATACATCAGTAGATGATGAAATGTTGAGAAGTATTTGTGTAACCCTATCTGTGTTTGTGCATATAAACATATAAGTAACTACTGCAATTAAATCCTTACCTTTTATACCACTTTTGAAAAAGTATGTTTTTATCATTTATCAGGACCATAAATGATATGCCAGATCATGCAATATATTTTCTAAAGAACATCCTTTTACATGAATTATAACACCAACCTTATATAATTAATTTTAAAAGTTTAAAGCATTAAGCATGACCACTTTGTGCCTAATCTATGTATTATTTTAAAGTTAATTCTGAAGGCCTGTCATCCCAAGGTTCTAAACACAGAAATTATCCTTCTCAAGTGCCTGAACTTTATTATCCCTACCTTTCAGTGTTTAACATTCCTGCGTCAATAATAAAGAAGTATACCTTTGCTTCATATAAAAAAATTGTCACTTAGCTCAGTGCCAGGCATCTATTAATTTATCAATATATTTTTGCTGTAATGATTATTCATCCAATACGTCTTTAAAGAACATATAATTCAACAGTAATATAAACATGTATGGAACAAGGAGAAACTATTATCACAATGGAGTATAATATAGTTTCTGATTTCCTGTAAGTAGAATCTGCTCTAAATTAAGCAGATACTATAGCCACACTTCAAAATAATTGTTTTCAGCTTTGTTATGAGATCCTTTAAAGCGTGAGGCCATCTTACAAAGGAACTGGTGTTTCAGGAACTAAACATTTTTGGATGAAACCCAAATGTATCTGGCATATCTTGA